TGTAAAACCGGCTACCTTTAATAAAAATAAAAATAATAATAATAATAATAGTAATAATAATTATAGTAATAATAATAATAAGATTCTCATGATTTTGAGATTTCTGGGAATTTGAATAACACCATGTTGGGTGGTATTCAAATTACCTTAAAATGAGGAAAAGTGAATCCCATGGTAATGACTTTTCTGGAAATCTAAAAATTATAATTATTGTACTAAACATGATAATATTACAGATTCTCATTCTCATCTTTAAGATTACTGCATACCAAATGCCCCTAAGGAGTTTATAATATTTTACAACTTATAAAGAAAGTAAATTAAACTTAATTATTGGTTCATTTAGAAGAAAAGAAAAGCTAATAGACAAAATTTCAAGAGAAAGAGACAAAAGAGTTATTGCCTTGTTATTTTTGTTTAATTCATACGTCTAAAAAAATCAATTTCTATTATTTTTGTTTAATTCATGCATATTTAAAAGGAAATCAATTCTATCACTGGCAAAAAATTCATTGCGGTAAATTATTGTCTAATTCTTTTTGCGAGGATGTGAATGATCATTTTATTACGACTATAGGCTATTGTTAGAGAAAATTTGTCGTCACACCAAAAAATTGGAATGCTCTTTTTTTTATTTTTTCTGAGGTAAGAAATGGGAATCTTTTTTTTTTCGCTGCTCAAAAAAAAAAAAAAAAAAAGGAATGTTATTAGGAAAATTTGATGCTGAAAGCGTCTAATGTACTTTTTCAAAAGTTTGCCTAACTAGTACACAAAAACATCATTAGAAAATTTATTGTTATTGCTATTTTAACTCATAGTGAAAAAATTTAAAGTTTCATTAGAAAATTTATTGTTATTGCTATTTTAACTCATAGTGAAAAAATTTGAAGTCTAAACTTTATTTCAGGTAAGTCAAACTTGTAACATCCTCTGCATAGACAAGTATTAGGATAAAGAGGTAAATAACATATTTTAAGACAATTTTTAAGTGAATAACATATTTTTAAGATGATTGAAGTAAATAGCATATATAATGATAAATATTTATTCTATTTACTCTTAAATATTCCACATATATGTTTATATACTTATAAATATTGTATTTTCGTCAGATGAATAAATATTTATTAGTAAATATTATTTAAGAACCGTTTTGAAAAATACTCACCACGGTGACTGATTTTGGCATATTCAACAATCTCTCAAATCATAAATATTAAACGTTTTGACAAAAGCGTGATCTGTGTGTATATTATATATCCATTTATTGGCTCTCAAAGCTTCCTTTGCTTATTTATTTATTTTTTAAAAAATAATAATAATAAATAAGTGCATTAAATACCAACCGTAAAACCGGCTACCTTTAATAAAATAAAACAAACAACAAAAATTGTTTTCTCCTTTTCCCAACTCGACCTAACAATGTGTCAGTTTGTCTTAATTGGCTCTCAACGAACTACGCAATAATATAAAATACCATTTTCTTCCAAAAAGTCTGCCAAGCATTATCTAGTTATTTTAGCATTTTCTCCCAGAATGTGGAAGAACAAATAGTCACGCGTCTAATCCTTAGGAAGACAATTTAATGCTGATCTACTCTATCTTATTTTCCAATATATATAATGGTCATGGCTTTAAATTCTTGTAACTGAAACTTTCTTCTTCAAAGTAATCAAAATTAAAGAAATTAAAGATGTACTTTTTTTTTTTTTATCTATTAATTGGTCCATAAAGACAAGTTTAGAAGAAAATCAACAAACCCATAATCCTCATTGCGGACCTTTAGCTTAGCCCACAACGACAATCTCGCCTCAACCATCGCTCAAGCCTCCAATTCCATGAATCTTAGGCAATCCATGGACTAAAGAATATTGCATGGTCAGCAACACATGAGAATAATATTTGCAAATAGGTCCTCCAAAGATTTTTCAATGCTCTACTCATTAGTGATTCTGAATGTGACAATTCCCTAACAATAAAACAAGCCCAAATGCCCCTCGACTAAGCCATCACAATTGCCCCTTTTGGTTCCAAAAACTCGGCCTCAATTGGTCAATTATTTTTTTATTGTTTTTTATCATGTGGGTGTCACATTATATTCAAAACGAGTTACTTCTTCTATTGCTCTTTCAAGTATTAATCCAATTAGGAACTATTTCTATTCCTCTCCTATACATTGTCTGCCACATGGTTGGGTCCACGGACGTCATTTGCAACAGAGTTTTAGATACAACGACCTTCTAATTATTTTTTGAGATATCATGGGTTTTATCCAGAATAAAACCATTTCATTGGCACCAAAAATACAAAAAAGTTTTTGGCCCCAAAAAAAAAAAAAAAAAAAAAAAAAAAAAAAAAAAAAAAGCTTAAAATTTTTTTTTTTTCCATTTTGTTTGGAAAAGGATGGATCCCGCACACTACCATCTCAATTTTCTTATCAATATCAAAAGCATGCATGAAGTCAACATTTTGGCCGCCAACTAGACATCTCGTGTGCGAGTGCAAATATGTGTGTTGTTATCTTAATCGGGTTTCTATTTTGTAAGTTATTAGTGATATAATCACATGCCACGTTTGTGTGATCAATTTGTATATATATATATATACCCTTTACTCTCTATATGGGGACAGACAAGATTTATATCTACCACAAAAAGACTTTTGTTGGTCCATAATTAATAAAAGGATTTAGAATCTTCTATATATAGCTTTTCCACATATATATTAATTTAAATACCATGAACTAATTTGCTAGAAAACGTAGTTTCCAACAATAAACAAAAATAAATACGTTACCAATGAAATGTTCTTGTTTTTTGTCTAATTAACCTCAAAACCGTAGAGAAATGCAACAAATTTACCAAATTGTGGTAGCTATTTAAACAACATGCTTTTAATATGGAACATGTGGCCTTAGAGAGAAAGATAGTTTTTGCTTATACAAAAATGAAGAAGCTCGTAGTTATTAGCTCAAATCCGCAGGCTCGGCCTGCCAATTTTTGGCAAAACTAAAGGGAAAATTAAGTGCATTGGCTATGAATCTTTCCGTGTGCAAATAAGGAGGGGCCTCTATGTTATCAAATGATTATTCATTGAGAAATATTAGTATTACTTTTTTTGTCACTCTCTGAATTCAATATTTGACACGTGAACTCTATTATCTCATTTTTTGTTTAAATAATAAAATATCGTGTTAGCAAAGTCTACATATCAAACAATGAATGTAGAGAGTGACAAACAGAATGATAAAAAAAAAATAATGCCAACATTTGTGTTGTTCATTTTGGTTCCATTTGTAGTTTCCCATATGCCCTTACTAATAGTTAATATGAATGCTTTGAGCATTACTGACAAAGGAATAGACATCAAGGGCGGCTTCAGTTTGTGTGGTAGTAATACTATGTACTAAAAGAGAATGTATATTCTAAGCTTTTTGTTGGTGACTTCTAGCCTCTACATATATATATATATATATATATATATATATATATTCGCTACAACTTGGATATGTATATATCTATAAATATAACCCCATGTGGAATCTTCAGACGACAATAGTGTACTGTTACACCATGATAAGGATTATTCTTGTCTATGACATGTCATGATCATTTGGACCCATTTAATAGTCGGTTACAAACTGTGATAGATCAATGTCACGTCTGATTTGGCCAAGGGAAACTAAGGAATTATTGATGCAAAAAGTTATAAAAGTAAGAGTTGATCTCCAAATTTCTGTAGCAAAACCACACCAACGTGTTGGATAATTGTAGCTAGCTAATTCATTGAAAATTTTGACACCGCCATTAATGTATATTTCTGAATTCTGTTATAAACGCATGTGCCCTACTCATAAATCTATAAATACGTGTATATATAGTATACACATCCGGAGGCCTGAAAAAAAAAATATTATATTGTTGAAAGGGATAATATTAGATTTTCATCAGATTTTCGTTTAACTTTACACTTCATTTGATATTATACTACAATTTTGATTAATATGATAACAATTCTAAATTTTGTTATAAGCCCATGTGCCCTTCTTTATTACTCATAAATCAATCAATATATGTGTATTTAGTACAAACATCTTGAACGCATGAAAAAAAAATATATATATATATATATATTCAAACGATCATAATTAGTTTAACATCAAATTTAATTCAACATCGTATACTTTATTTAATATAATATGATTATATCTTCCCATAAAATTCTCATGTTATATTCTTTTGAACTTTGTAATGTGAAAACTTTGTCGAAAGGAAAGATGTGAAATGGAGCCAACAAAAGAAGTTGGATTTAGTGCCTGCATGTGCAGCTAAATCTATTACACTAGGAATGAAATTCAAAGGCTGTCCCTACCATTTTTTCTTTAGGGTTACAGACAGTTTCCACTATTTTTTTCTGCTGCAGTTTATTCTGTTGGTAGTTTTATCTGACTTTTTTTGGTGAAATCTTTCTAGTTCCCATATGTCTTGGTTGGAGTGCAACAAATATATACTTGACCATATATATTGGTAAAAAAATCGTAAGGTTAAAGTCGACTGTTTGTCTCATTGACTGTGCATTTATCTTGGATTCTTTTTCTTCCTTTTTAAGGTTTAAGATCACCCGATTCGAGTTTTCAATTCCAATTCGAGTTTTCAATTCCAATTTTATTACAGTTAAAAATTCTCATAAAAAGTCACATTTAATTTTTTCTGTTACAGTTAAAAACTCTCAAATAAAATCACATTTCAGCTCGAATTGAAAACTTTAATCAACGAATTAAATGAGGCATAAATGTTGCATGTTCTACTTAGCATGGGGACAATTAAGTGGGAAACAAATTAACAGTTATTACGGTGGTTGAACTTTCCAAGCTAAATCACTTTAAATTAAATTGAATTGGTTCGCTTGAATTTTTCTTTTGCTTTTTGTCCACTTTTGGGGCCCATTTTCGTTTCTTCCGATATTGATTACGCTTTAAGAGTGTGAGAGAGACAGTGAAATATGGAGAATTAAAAGTGGATTTAAATTAAAACGGATCATCATCAACATAATTTAGTATATCAACACTTCAGCACACTTGCCTTTTCTCTTAGCCCATCAAGATTCTCAACTAGAATCCCTAAATGGTTCTAAGAATACTAACGGGGTGCGAGGTTGTAATGATAATATTGATTTTTTAAACCAAAGGGTGAAAGTGGCAAAAAAAAAAAAAAAAATGAGAGGGAAGTAAAAGCCAAGAAAAGTAAACCCTAGAGATTGACCCTTCTTGAGTGCTTTTTTTTTTTTCTTTTCCTCCTCCTTTCTTCAATTTTTTTTTAAAATTTCCCTCCATCTTCTACTATTTTAAATGGTTTTTTTTTTTTTTTTCAATCTTCAATGGGGTCACAATCAGCAACGGGAGCCCTTACGGCAAGACAGTGCACCGGCATTGGTTGTTATGGTTCCCACAAGAGTAGATGGCCTAGCCCCCAAACTTGAAGCCTTGGCATAGCTTGAGGAAGCTCCGGCTCCGGAGGCGGTGAAAAACGCGCCGTTTACCATAAGGTCTCCTTCCGACCTCCAATTCCAATTTTTCCACTCGCTCTCCGGCGCATCCTCATGCTTGGTCACCTGAAATTGTTCAAAAAAAAAGAAAAACGTACATTATGAGTCACGACATGTGTACGGTTGAGATTGAATGACGAAATCGAACCTTAAAAAGAATGACGTTTTTATGATATGCTTGACATTTGGCATAGAATTAATATATATATATAGTTGAAATTGTTGGAGAATATTAAAATAAATAATGGGGGTTATGTTTTATAATAATGTGTTTTGGATTCTATTAACTGACCTCTTTGCTGAATCTCTTATCTGGGGCAAGAAATCTGTTGCCTTGGCTGTTGATGGTTGGGTTTGCGCTTCCCCCAATGGCGTACATCTCCCAATGGGTGTAGTCATTGTTGACCACATGGAAGTAGCCATGCCTACATCTGCAAACGTGAAAAGCCACCCAAAAATTAAAATCACAAAAAATTCAAACCACAAATAATATGGGCCCACCCTCCCTAATTAGTAATTACCCATAAAAAAAAAATCTCCCACCTAATATCTCTATGCCAAAGGCAAAAAGCACTTTTGGCACCTAATTACGTGTCAAGTGATTGTAACCCTAATTAAATTTAATTAAATTATAATTAAGTTAAATTCGAATTTTTATCTCGGGTAGTGTTCAAAAAGTGCTCAGTAGTACAGCTCTATATATACATAACAGGTGTCAGCCTATGTTTGGTTACACATCTATGATTTAGACCAATATACCACACCACATGCTAAGTGAGAAAATTCAACCAATAACACTAGTCAAAAAAAGCATTTCCCTGTTCCTATATGTCTTTTTTCAACCTCTCTTTCTTGGAAAAATACACAAATATTCAACTTTAATTTGTTATCTTTTCTTTTTAAAGAAAAGTAAAGTTTTTTTATTTTTTTATTTTTTTTTTACCTTGGCATTCTTTGAACGAGACCTTCACCAAAGTGGTTAAAAGCAATGGTGACCTGCATGTTCTTGTCCTGAGTATAGGAGTCGCTGTGGCCCAACAACATGACCTTATCATGGTGCGTCATGTAGTTGTTCGACAGTGTGATGGCTGTGGACCCATGAATGGCATCGATCAGACCGTCCTGGCAGTTCGACAGCGAGCAGTGGTCCACCCAAACGTGGCTCCCACCGAAGATCGACACGCCATCGCCGTCCGATATCGTCCTCCACCCGTAGTGCCGTGGGGAGTCCCGCACCATAGCGTTCCCCCCGGGCTTGCAGTCGTGAATGTTAAGCCCGTGGATGATTATGTTGGTAACGAACTGAATGGTAATGCAGGGCCCACCGGCAATGTGGACGCTGGCCCCACGCCCGTCGATTGTCTTGAACGAGTTCATGATCAGCTCCTCCTTGAGCTTGATCACCATGTCCCGGGCGAAGATGATCCACAGCGGCTCGTCCTGGATGACCGCGTACCGGAGAGTCCCCGGCTTCGGGTTCACCACGTCGTTGTCGCTCGAGTCGGTGACGACGTAGATTTTCCCGTCCCTTCCTCCTACGGCATTCTTCCCGAACCCAATCGCGCAATCCGCCAGCCTCTGGCGGTTCTTCTCCCAGTTCGGGTCACACCGCCAGCAGTCATCGATCGGGTTACCCGTTCCGCATGAGAGATAACCTAAATTCCTCCGAGACACCGAGGCATTGATGCTCCTGTAAATAAATAAAAAAAATTTAAACATTACCCACATTAGTATCACAACATATTATTATTATTATACAAAACTGTCATATCACAATGTGTGATTTTTTTTTTATATTTTTTACCGGTGAACTTCCCCCACGACTCGTTCAGGGTCTGGAGTGGGCGAGGAGTGGAGAGTCGGGATTTGGAAGGAGAAGAGGAAGACAATGAGAGTGAGCAGTGAAGGAATTAGGGATGTTGAAGCCATTTTTTTTTTCTTTTTTTTTCTTGTTTGCTCTGCTTCTTTTCTCCGCTAATGTGAAAGAAAGAAGAGAAAAAAAAGGAGAGAATGGGAGTGGGAAAAGATGAATGGAGGGAGGTGGGTATATAAAGAGATTAAAGCCGGGTTAATTGGCGTGATTAAACTACACAAGTGGGTCCCAGGTGTGCTTCGTGATTTCTGGTTTTACGGGATTCCATTTCGGTAGTTTTGGCCGTTAAGCAAGCCTTGAATAAAGGTATTACATATGTCATATATATGCACCATATACATATATATATATATATATATATATATACAAACATATATATGAAAGAAAGAAGAGAAAAAAAAGGAGAGAATGGGAGTGGGAAAAGATGAATGGAGGGAGGTGGGTATATAAAGAGATTAAAGCCGGGTTAATTGGCGTGATTAAACTACACAAGTGGGTCCCAGGTGTGCTTCGTGATTTCTGGTTTTACGGGATTCCATTTCGGTAGTTTTGGCCGTTAAGCAAGCCTTGAATAAAGGTATTACATATGTCATATATATGCACCATATACATATATATATATATATATACAAACATATATATTATATTTTCTTTTAAATGGAAAACGAAACTCACTACTGAGTTTACGGGACTTAACTATTCATTGGAAAGGACGTCCAGGGGTATATTGGTTCTTTCCCTTTTTAATTTCTCTACGATAACAATAGTAGTATTAATTATTAATGTTTGTTATTTTCATTTCTGAGAAGGACAGAATTGGTAAGAAAATTAAAAAGCTTGAAAGTTGGACACCAAAAGAGAGAGTATTTAACTACCGTTACATCATTATTTATGCCGTTGTTTTTTGGGTGTATTATTTTCTTAACTAGGTTATGAATTATGTGGCCATTTGCATGGAAATTGTGACAATATAAGATATATAACTTATACGTTATAACAGAACAATTGGTAGAACATTTAATTTGATTATAATTAAAGTGAAGATAAGAGACAATCATACAAAATCTCCGATTTTGGAGGATAATTGTGATTCGCACATGCCAAAGTCGCTCTCAGTCTAATTTAATATTAAATATTCCAATACTCTCCTTTGTTTAAGTTAATTATGTTTGTCTTAGGGAAAAAAAGAAAAAAAAAAAAAGAAAAGTAGATTATATTTTTCTAATCACTTTCACAAATGCTAATACGGTAATATGCCAAGTCGTTAATGGAATCTAACGGAAAGATTTGTATTTTATACGGACCTTTTTATTAACATTATATATAAACTTTACAGATTATGATCTCAAATTCGTATACGCGTAGTATATATGAGGCCCAAAGGAATATTATTTATATATAATAATTCATGTAATAATGTATTAGCATATAAACTACCATTATTATGCAAATATTAAAAAATTCAAGCTCTCAAGCCTAATAAATGGAACACCAACACAAGTCGTTGGTTTCAAACATTTAGGGGACGTTTGTTTTCTGTATTCGTCTATAATTCTGAATCATGATTTATGATTTTCTACTGTGTTTTTCTCTAAAAAAAAAACACACGTAAAACAAAAATGATTATAAATCATGATTCTAAATCTATGAACCAAATGTCCTCTTAAGTGCCGAAAACACCTGCTTTTTTTTCTGTTTCTGTTTTTCTTGTTGATGTTTGTTACACAAAAATATACACACACAGATATACAAATATATATATATATCGTTATATATATATATGTGTGTGTGTGTGTGTGTGTATGATATATGGTATTAAATTCTCCACCACATGCATGGCGTACTTTAATTTATACAAGTACGTACACGAAAAAATGGAGTTTGTAACTAGAAGTAGGGCTGCTTTTAAAGATGATGCGATTTCAGGTAACGTTCTGTGCACTTCTCTAAATGCTTTGTCGCGCTCCAAGCTGCCAAAGACAGAGACACTAAACTTTGTTGAACAAGCAAAACATAAGCATATATTGGTCACTGTTCCCTCTCTTGCTCTATATCTTTTATTATAATTTGTTTCTCTCTTTTTTTTTTTTTTTTGAAAAAAAAATTATTTCCCATCTTTGGATTTAATGGGGCCCCAATAGTTTTCTCCATTTTTTTTTTCTCATTCACTATAATGCATTTAAAAGTATTTACTTTTTTTTTTATTAAATTCAATAAAATAAGACGTGGGTTTCAACTTTCATGCACTAATGATGAACATTATTAAGAAGACAGCATGCTCAAGAAGTCATTGTAAACACCAAGGTGACTTAAAATTAAACAGCGTAGTTGTTCAAAATGGGTATGATTTTATTGCACTTCATAACAAGTATTATTTTCTTTTCTTTTTTTTTTTCCAGTTAGAGATAATGTTCTTAAGATATGCCAATATTATCACGGCAACATTGGTTTGCTCTGTTTAAGAGCAAGCATATTGGACCAATTTTTTCAGAACCACAAAACTTTGGCATGTAATTTCCCCAATTAATTGAAACATTAAATTCGAACCAATATTGTCCGTGACAAGAGCACATGCATTTGCCTGAAAAATCAAACCTCCAAGAAAAGCTTGTAGGCCCAACAATTCTCTCCAATTTTCCCTTTATATTATTTTTCAAATTTCTATTTTCCACACATTTTAACATTATTAAATTTCTCTCTGGCCGCAAACTCCGGCGAAATTTCACAAAACAAAACAGAAAATAAATAAATAAATAAATAAATAAGGACTCTGAGCTTTATGCTGACATGGCAAAATGGAGACCTCTCAAGCCGCCACTTGTCAACGACAGATCCCAGACACATGGGCCGTGAGATGGGCCGTGGTATCCGTCAATTTGGCTGACTAGGGCTCACCTCACTCTAGTGAAAGCAACGTCCACGCAGATTTTATTCCTCGCCTATCCTCTGCTAAGATCCCATCCCTCCAATATGGATTTGACATTAATCAGAGCCGTTTATCACATGAGTGGGGAATTTAGATTTGATGCTTTATATAAAGGGGAAAAAGGTTTGTAGGACAATATCAACGTGAAGGTCTTTGTTAATCGGTTAGGGTAGGGCTAAAATAAAAAGGCATTTCCATGTTAGTTGGTCTTATTTTTTTAAGAGAGAACCCTTTTTTTTTTTTTTTTTTTTTTTTGATTTTGGGTTTATGCATATTAGCTGGCGAATGAAAACAACGGGACAACCTCTTTCATCCACTAAACACGTGGCAGCCAAGTAATTCGACCACTTGGCAGCTTCTCGTAGCCAATGGTTTTTCTTAGAAGCACATGGGAGGAGATCCTGTTGAGCAAGCAATTTCACATCAAATCAAAGATTTTATTAATCGTTTCGATGGATTTTTGGGTCGTAATTTTCCAAGTTTAGCTGCATATTTTATGGGATTAGTTTGTTTTTTTCTTTTTAAAAAAAGTCAAATTGTGTGTACATTATGTACAATAATTCTTCATGGTAAATTGGTAGCTGAAAATTTTACATCTGACCTTTTGGACTATTAGGGTCAATTTTTCTTTATTAATGACAATTAGTGTATCGGATGTTGGTATTAGACAATTTTGTTTTTGGGGTAAGAAAATGCTACCGACAGTTTTATTTTTGCAATTTTTGCACGAATAATTGGCTTATATTGTGCATAATAAAATGGTCACGATCAATCATCAATGTGTCTCGTTCACTTCGCTGATTCAAGTTTAGAATTCGAGTTGAGATGTGATTTTATGTGAGAGCTTTTTACTGTAGCAAAAAAGTTAGATGTGATTGTTTGTGAGAGCTTTTTACTGTAAAAAAACTTGAATTCTAAACTCGAATCAGCGAAGTGAACAAGGCCTAGATTAGAGAAAGTTACACTTATTGGCTGCAGATTCGATTGTGGGACTATTGTGAACAACGGGTGGACACAGGAGCTACAGTACCACACACCACTAATTACAGCCACATGATTAAGTGGGGGCTATATATACACACATACATATATATATATAGATAGATATATAGATATAAGTTAATTTCCTTTTATTGTACCTTCCATGTACTTTTTCAAAGAGAAGCTTCTCACTCTCCGGCATTTATAATGGTACCGGCTGATGAAGATGATTACATTTTTTTTTTTTTTTTTTTGAGAGAGAAGATGATTACATTTTTGCACCTAACAATTTGGGTTTTGGCTGGTTTTTCATAAAACCAAGTTTTGACAAAAACAATGCTTATAAAGGACTACATATATTGTTTTAGCCAGTTCTAAAGTTGCTCTGTAGCTTCCATCTCTGAATTAATGATTTATGATATAGAAGTTAATTTGGGACATGGTTGACCACTTGGCAGTAATAAAGCTCATAATTAAGAAAGAGCCAATAAGACAAAGTTAGGTTCATATAATTGTATATGGTTAACGGGTCAATCAAACTAATGTCTTCAACTAAATGTGGTTAACTCAATTATGAATCTGTTGTGTGTCTGTGTGTCTACTTACATTTATGTGCATATATGTATTTAGAATTAGAGAATCCAATTTATTATTATTGAGAATAATTAAGGAAATTTCTCGTTGAGTTAGGACATACTTAAAAACGAATAAACCTCAGTTCTAAGAAATCATATCTTTTACCAAGACATTTACTAAGAAAGCAAAAGCTCTTTTGAAAGATGTTATTCAGGAACAGATTGAGTATTTTCTCCTTCAAGAACAAGTATAAATTGATAACTTTAAATCTATATATTATTTATTAAGTAATAAGTGTATTTAAAAAAAATGAAGAAAAGCAAACGAGGTAAGTACACACAAAATGTATAGTGTTTTATCATTAGAGGGTTTACGTTCACTCTCAACAATTGTAGAATTTTAGTATGATTTTACGCCTCTCAAACTCTTCAGGTGCGTTTGAAACTCGTTTCAAAATGATTTAAACGTTTTTAATCTCAAACAGAAATCATTTTTGAAAATATGTTTGGTAGTTTTTTCAAGAGATTGTTTTCAGTATACAAATTTCAATTAATGTTTCTCTCTCTCTACCCGAGAGAGGAGAAAACGGAAACAAAAAATGAAAAACGACTAAAAGTCATTTTTCATTTCTCTCTCATTTTACACTAAACCAAAAAAAAATATTTTTA